CCGAAAACATCTACATATCATACGAAAAATGTTACAATACAATAGTTTTCGGTAATAGACAACGGTAAAAAATTTGGAAATTGTTTTAAGTTTGAACTTTAATAATGCTTACAGATCAAAAACAAGATAATGATAGTTCTCCTCCTGGATACTGTCATGCAATCTCACTGAAATATATAGTTAAATTATAATACACAACTAACATTAATTATAACATGAGACATACCAATATTTGGATGGTGTAATTTTCGGCAGATCCTAGCTTCACGTTCTAGTTTTTGAAAATCTTAAAAAAAAAAAATATTTTATTTATTAATATATATTAACCTTGTGAACATAAGAACAGTCTGCTCGGTACTCTTTACTCCATGACCACATGGATGGCTGAGATAAATGTACATATTCTTACCTCTTGCTGTCAACTTTTTGGTATTTATAATCTTTGCAGCAAATTCAAATCCAGTTGATTTTTGGACACATCTTTTTACTATTGAGAAGGCACCCCTACAAAATCGAATAATTTTGTGTACAAGTGCAACATTACAATAGTCAAATGAACTTACTTTCCTAGCTCTTCTTTGATGTCGTAATTGTCCGAAAAACGCGTACAGGCTGCTGGAGCAGCCATCGCGATGGCACACTTAAGAAAATCTATTTCGGCAATAAATTGTCAGCAAGGCGTTGTATAAAATTGCCTCAATCTCTGTGATTTTGCAGTTTGGCTATATTCCACTTTCAAAGTTGTTAATTTTTGCCTTTGTAGTGATTAGAAAATATAAATACATTAATGGAATTAAAGTTCGAGTTTAATACAACAAATAAAGTACAAATCAACGTACATATGTATATGTATGTATAAACAAATTTATAATAATAAGACAGGTTAGACTACCGGCACAGATCTCAGCTCTCGTTAGTGTTTTGTGTTTCCGCTCTATGACGAACATATGTATATATTTATATACATCAGTACATTCATAGACCGGTTCGGTTCCTTTTGAATAATAGAACAATGGATAACAAAAATTTAAGTAAATTCTTTAATAGTTTTATGCAAAAGATATTTTTTATGCAATCTTTGACTTGTTATTGTTATCGGAACTATACAATTTTCTCTCCCATCACTAGAAGTAGAACCTCAATGAACGCAAGAAACAAATAATTAGTTTTCCTACGTTTTGATTTGGAGGCGGCATCGTTTGTAAAAATAAAAATTAAACTGTTTTTTTTTTTTGTTTAGACTAGTGACAATTATTATTTTTAAATAAATAATTGCTCCGCTCACATGTATTTGCATACACTACTAAAAATATGTATATGTATATTCATAAAGTTACATATGTATGGATTTGTTCTTTCAGGCACAATGAGACTATTGTTTTAATAATTCAACTTTTTTTGGACCATCGAAGTTCGATTAGAATTACATACATATGTACATACATATATGAAAATATGTCTTCGGTAGCAATGAAATATCACGTACATGTACATGTATACATATATGTATGTGCATACGTTTGCATATTGGGTCCTAAGGTGCATTGCGAGCTTTTGGTCAAAATCAATATGCCGATTCGAGAATAGAATACATGGCGATAAAATTACTAACCAAGCTTAAGATATAAACAAAACCTTCTACATCCAACTAGAAAAGTTTTATATTTTCGACCTCGCATATGTACATATGTTCTGCATGCTTACATGCATAAACACGTGTATTATATGTACATATGTTCCTTTGATAGCTGGTTTCCAGGCACTAGGAAAATATAAATCAATATTCAAGTCCCAGAAAACTTTTAAATAAAAATAAACCGGTGCAGATTTCACATCAATTTAAAATACACTGGTTCTTATACATATACATACATATGTACATCTAAGAAATGTATCATCTATAATTAAAAAGTATTAACTGTGCAATGCTTGTGCGTATTGCTATATAAAGTAATATCTCTGAATAGCACATATTATATATGAATATATTGAATATTTAATGTATCAAATTTACCACTGAAGCGACAGGTGTCTTAGAGCAATGTTGATCCATTACTGAAAAACGGCACCGCATCATGTCAGAATAGCTACAATTCGGTTCATAGTAATGCACATCCATACATATGTATGTATGCATGTGCATACTGCCCAAGAGTTGATATTCGGGAGCAAGTTTATGTATCCTGATTTTCTTGCACGGGAGCTTTTTGATTGAGCTTAATTTTAAGACGCCCCGCCCCCAATAAGGATGCCACATGGATATCTGTGAGGACATTAAATAAAACTTGTTGCGATTCATCTAATTTTTTAAATTTTGTTTACCACAAGGGTTTTTACCAATGAACATACATATGTATGTATGTATATAAATATACGGTATTTTAGGCCTTTAATCATGTTTAAGAATATTCCATCGTGAGTTTAATTTGTGTACAAAAGTACATATTTAAAGATGTTGCTATACACACACACACAAACCAGTGTATATAAGGCTGTTTCCTTGTGACAAATGTCCATATTGCTTGCGCATGAATATTCCAAATTTTCCAACCTCCGTTGCATTTATATTTCTAAGCAATTCTATTTATTACATTTTGTTCTATACAGGCCTGTGCCAGGTTTAAATAAACATATTTTAAATTGAACTCACTGGCATATGTATGAAATATGCAATTAATTTACATATATGTACGAGTATACATACATACGTACATAGATACATAAGTATCCTTTAAAATATAGGGGCGAGGCAACTAAAGTTGTGTCAACCGAATTGTAACTTGGTGGACAAACACGGTTATATACGTTTCACATGTATACCATAAATATATATAAATATATTTATATTTTAGCCTAAAATAAAACATATAAATATATGTACCTACATATTTGCATATGGTTATATTTTTGAATTTGAGATGTCTTATATATATATGTCGGTAGATGAGAATAAAGCACATAAAAATGTGTGTGTGTATAAATGTATGTACACATGTTCAAATCTGTATAAATATTATATTTAAAATATACCTTATAAATGAACGTTATGATGTATTAATTTGGTTCACTAAAAACAATGTATTACGAATACATATATTAGTGAATCGGGGAATCAGAAAATGTTAATTATGACAATAGTTAAATGTCAATACGAAAAATAAAAGTTCCGATATGCGAACATACATATGTATGTCTATGTATAAGTTTGTATGATATAGCGAACTGAGAACACACGACGAGTAAAAATAGATATAGAAATTTAAAGAACGTCCGTTTGCTTGAAATTCGAATTCAATACTGAATGACGAGACTTTACAGTCTCGTTTGGTTCGATTAAAGTAGAAGTGCCGAGCAGAAAAGCTTCGTGCTGAATTTTTTCCCTGACTTTCGTGTAGCAAAATTAAGACTTACGGCCACGAAGGCCATATTTGCTGCAGACATACAATGCTAGGAGTATGCGCAGTGATGTTTCCATATTCCAAACTTTCTTTACGTCGAATGCAGTCGCTTGGTTCTAACAAATTCAAATTGGTGTCGAAAGCTATTTTTTTGACCAGACAGAAACAAGACGTGGGCCGGTAAAGCCTCTTTATCGGGATAAAATTAAAACAGGAATTTTGATTAAGATGGATAGATAATATATTTGTATTAACGAGAACTCATTAAAAATGCCAAAACAAATTTTGTGATATTTTTTTTTTTTAAAACAATAATTGCGGTATTAATTTTTATATACATATTTGGTAGTTGGTACTGACTGGTGTCACAGCTTTCAAACGAAATAATTTGAAATGAACTGGAATGTTATGGTACTTAGTCAGCATATATGCGAGCTTATGATATATGTAATTTATACAATATTTTTTATATGTAATCATCTATCGCTGTTCGCAAAAGGGAAAAATTGATTTTTTGGCAAAAATAAATTCGTACAAATCGATCGATGGGAGATTGGGAGATTTAAAAATGTGTTATGTGTTTGATTTTATCTGTTTCCATTTTTCTTTACATTTTTTTACATCTGTCTCTTTTTTTCTATTCTCACACCAACATAGCGTTTTATCCCACTCCTTCAAAATTGTGGATCCCACAGATTTTTGTCCTTTGTGTGTGGGCAGAAGGCGCCGGGGCGAAATTTTTAAATACAATACAATACAATAAAATTAAAAGACCAAGCGACGCGATGGTCATACGCGCGGAACCCAGATCCCAAATATCGATATCAGATTGAAGGGAGCAGACGCAAAACGCGCGTCGGTTAAACTGCGGTGGAAAACCAAACCAAGTTGTGGAATTGGCGCCAATATTAGTGTGGAAATGCGAAATTTCCCAAAAAACATTTGGCAGCCCCGATACAAAATCCTAACACATTCTTGCAATAGGCAAGTGTGCTCAAATCTATTGCATCAAGCAAAAACGCAAGAAAAGATCCGGACTTACTTCCGACTTACACATATACACAATCAATATATTCAGCAAAAGAAGTTAGACACTAGACAAAGTAAGAAACGTTTGAAACTTGATTGAAAAGTTGGTATAGAATCAGATAAGGCTAAAATCGTGTATTCATATTTTATCGGGTTGAAAATGATACCTTCATTCAAGAAAATATAAAATACCAAAAAAAATAAATATATATATATGTTTGCTATGCCCATTAACGCAAGAAAATTGTTTAAAAGAAAACTTTAATTTTAGAATCACAATTGAACCATTTTACCTTTTTTTTTAAGTTAAATTTTTGTTACAGGGATCGGACGTATAAAAATTAAACTTCAGCACGTTTCCCTTCTTTCGTAAACGGATTAGGTTTGAATCGGAAAAATTGATTGGAAAAGTAAAATATTTGTGTTTTTTTTAGCCACTCAGGTCAGAAACTGAAATAGCGTAGACAGAGCGTAATGAATCTGCTAATATCTGATAGCGCCGTAATGCTTCCCTCCCCACCTTCACTTAACATACAAAAATTCGTTTTAGTTTAGTAAAAAAAGGCATCGAACTTAAGATATTGTTATATTTATTTAAATAATTGCACATGGACAAAGTTGCGGCGGGTTTAATTAGTAGGTATATACGCCTTTATGAATAAGTACGAATATTTTTGGCTTTATAGCTTTGCGATACAATAATAACGAATAAGTAATGCGCATGGAATGTAATAAAATTCGACTATTTGTGTATCAGTGCATAAGACATATTTCTCTAGACTTAATGGTCCGTTGTCATCCGATTGGTTAAAACTTGGACACGTTGTGCATTGCAGCTCTTACAAAGGATATGATCATCTAAGGGGTAGCATCCCCGACCATCAGCTTCGGATGATAATAAGAGCCCACAGTCCTTTTTGAATATACACACTATTAATATTTCATTACGAGTATGCATCATTAAAACATTTTACCTCGCATTTATAGCATTCCAAGTGAAAACTACGGTCCAGAGCCACCACTCGTACAGTTTCTTCTTGCCCTGGGTCAGGCATAATTGGTTCCTTGCAAACGCAGCAACGCGGTGCAAATTTTCTATATTTAGCAATAAAATAAAGAATCAGTAATGAGAAGTGCCCTTAAATCATATCTCATACTTATGGAAATCGGTAATGCAATAATTTTGATTAGTGGCATCAACGGTGAACAATAAACCATCCAAACTTTTCCCACATACAACACATGTAAAGCATTGCGGATGGTACGGCTTTCCTGTAGCTCTGAGAATTCTCTCCAAAATTGGCTTCATGCAAACTGAACATTTCTCAAGAGTTTGCAAATAGTCATACTCGCAGTATGGTTTACCCTCCAGGGCATAAAATGGTTTACCCTGCAGGTTTATTTGACAGTTTGTGCATGTGAAACAGGATATATGGTAAATTTGCTCCATTGCCGTGCAACCACTGCTTTCTCCTAACACTCGCTCATTGCATTTAACGCACCGACCTAGGTGCAGAATCAATAGTTATTATTTTATTAGTTTAAAATAAGTATTTGAACATTTTTGACGTACCATAATTTTCAAATTCATGTGTTTGGTGAGTGGGATTGACAGCACAGTGTCCTAAACCCCCATCATTCTTATTTTTATTTTGATAAGTATTTTGGTCTTCGTAACCTTCAGCCAGAGCACCGCCTCTGATATATAGCCCATTGTGCGAATCAATTGCTATCAAAGAATTGACATCACCGGATCTACTCGCAATATTGTTATCATTAACGTATGTGTCATACATATTATAACTTGCACGGGACAGCAAATCTCCAGGTGAACGAGGATTTATAGGCTCATATATTGAATCATATGTCGATGAACTCTGCAAAAAAACAAAATATATTATACATTTATTTAGACCTATTTGGTCTGAAAGTCCCAACTGTTCTTGCTCAAACATCAAAACAGATCTATTACACAGCCACCCACCTAAGACTCCGATGACAAAGCTTTTCCGTCTCTCGAAAGTCGATAGGGAATGGTGCTTAACATGAACATGTCGTCGGGCATTTCGTGGCCACTGCAAATTGATTTCTTACTTTTGGCTATAAAAATGATCCGATCTGATTCAGATTCGGCAAACTGGTAGATATAGTCAATCTTTATGATTGTGCGTTTTTAGTTTTCTTGTGTCTTTAATAGTGTGGATGCCACAGATTTGTGTCAGATATCAGAGAGGTCCGGATACAAAGTGTCGTTGCTCTAGCTCTTATAGTCTCTGAGCACTAGGCGCTCATATGGATGGACAGACAGACAGGTCTCAATCGACTCGGCTATTGATGCTGATCAAGAATATTATATGCATATAAATTATGGGGCCGGAAACACTTCCTTCTGGACGTCACAAACATCCACTTTCACTACAAATCTAGTATACCCCTATACTCATTTTGAGTATCGGGTATAAAAATGTGTTCGCCAACGTACGCGAAATAGAAATCTACTTTGGCTTAATCTAGCAAAATGGTAAAATCTGTGAAAGGAAGATTAATGTAGGTTTCTACCGAGGTTTCTACACACAAAATTGTCTCTATTGTTACTTGTAGGCGAATACCAGGCTCGCTCAGAGCCCGCCACACTTAGGTCGGTTTCGGCCCGTTATGATACCGCTTGGGATCATTTCCTTCCTGCGATGTGGGACTTCATGTCAGCAATTGTGCCAACCAGATGCTCTTACAAAGTAAGCGATCTTCCTGGGACATAGTGTAGACATCTCCGAAATGTCAGTTAGAAAGGCTGAGCCTAAGTGTTGTAGCCTTCTTCTGCTGAGAGCTGGACAGGGGCAGAACAGGTGTTTTACTGTCTCCTCCTCTTCATCGCCTCTGCAGCTGTGGAAATCATTGTGAAATAATTAAAATCATTATGTGGGGAACCTAGCCTGTTAGCGTGGGCCAATGTCCCGTGAGGGAACGTACGACTGCGCTGCAACTTTTCCTGCCTAGTTTGCATAGCTCAGAGGTGCGCTTCCTGTCTATGGTCGACCATGTTAACCGAGTTATGCGACATCGTGGCATTATTTGCCACATATCGTCAGTCAGTCGCTTGTATTTCTCTTTTATGATAAGCTTGGAAGCTTATCTTGGAGAAAGGGGGTTGTCGTGCCAGATGTAGTGGCTAACTCGTCCGTTATATTTTGTTATATTTTGTTCACTAGTTCATTTTTGCTTACTTGTTCGCTAATCAAAGTTCTCAAAAGGGCATTTTGCGATCTGGAAGTTGTTGCTCATAATTACTTCACACTGTCTGTATTACCGGCAAAGCTGCTTACTCTTTTAAAAATTCAGTATTTTTTTATACCCGATACTCAAAATGAGTATTGGGGTATATTAGATTTGTGGTAAAAGTGGATGTGTGTAACGTCCAGAAGGAATCGTTTCCGACCCCATAAAGTATATATATTCTTGATCAGCATCAATAGCCGAGTCGATTGAGCCCTGTCTGTCTGTCCGTCTGTCCGTCCGTCCGTCTGTCCGTCCCCTTCAGCGCCTAATGCTCAAAGACTATAAGAGCTAGAGCAACGATGTTTTGGATCCAGACTTCTGTGATATGTCACTGCTACAAAAATATTTCAAAACTTTGCCCCGCCCACTTCCGCCCCCACAAAGGGAGAAAATCTGTGGCATCCACAATCTCGACGATACGAAAAAACTAAAAACGCAGAATCGTCGAAGATGACTATATCTTACAGAGTGCAAAATCTGAACCAGATCGTATAATTATTATAGCCAGAATCACGAAAACAATTTCACTCTTTCTCGCTCTGTCTCACTCTAACACACAGGTTTAATGGTCGGTTTTGCCAATTGCAAAATATGTGTTCAAGGATCTCAGAACCCATAAGAGCTAGAGCAACCAAATTTGGTATTCACACTCCTGTGATATCGGACCTTGACCGTTTTGTGTCAAAATTTCGCGCACCCCCTTCCGCCCCCACAAAGGACGAAAATCTGGGGCAACCACAAATCTCAGAGACTTTAAGGCTAGAGTAACCAAATTTGGTATCCGCACTTCTGTTAGATCCCACTATAAAACGTACATCTCAGAATTTCGCCCCACCCCCTTCCGCCCCCACAAAGGACGAGAATCTGTTGCATCCACAATATTGCAGATTCGAGAAAACTAAAAACGCAGAATCATAGAGAATGACCATATCTATCAGATTGCTGAGTCTGGATCAGATCGGATCATTTTATATAGTTAATAGGAACAAATCAATTTGCACTAGCTACGCAGCGCCCGACGTCATGCACAGACTGATTTTCTGTCTCTCTCGCACGCACTCTTTGTCGTGTCGTTTAATATTAGCGCCGTCTGCCGGAGGAGAGCCATACTGACTTAGTATCGGGTATAACTGTAGAGTTGCGGTGTCCGCAGCAACTCACAACGTTCCACCTCGTTTTTTATTTGTGTGCGAAGACAACTGGTATGAAGGCACACTAAAAAACATTAATTTGAAATATTGCACAGAAATTTTTTTGCAGCCAACAAAAGAAACAAATATTTGTTAAACATTTGCTAATCATAAGAGATTATTATTATAATGTATTTATGTATGCAGATTCTTGATCAGTATCAATAGCCGAGTCGATATAGCGATGTCGGACGGCCTGACCGACAGCGTCTAGATCTCAGAGACCATAAGAGGACAACAGCCGCCCCACAGTGGTCGACTTTGCAATTTGGCAGAAAATAAACAAATTAATATTTATTTCCCGCTGATAATTATTCCGATTTTTATATATTTTTCCCTTTGATAGTCAAACCGCGCGAGGGTAAATACCAAAATAAAAATGCCGTTTTAAGGTTTGTTGTTCAGCTAAGTCAATCTTAATGTTTTGCGTTTTGTATTGAAATAACTGTTTAACTTGATCATACTTGGTATGTATTAAAATAAAAGACATGTGTGTATATTAGTGGTAAATCGTTGTAGAACTTAAAATTTCCTATGGAGAGCTTTTACTTACATACCAGAGACCTTCGTGGAATAGAACTTTTGACATCCGTCCCCATCCGCCTTCTACCTTTTTTTTGTTTGAAAATAGTCATTGTGAATCGTCCGTGTTACAATGAACTACGACATGAATGATTTCATAGGTACAAAACCACGGTCGAGAATCACGCTTTTCTCAATATGGCACAATGGCACTGTGCAAAAAAAAGTTTAAGTGTCAAAAGTTGAAAAGTCATCAGTATTAACTGATTAATTAAAATTAATTAAAAACAACGAACAATTTTTGAAAGAAACACTAATATTAACTCAAACAGCAGCAAGTACTTCTCGGCGCCCAGAAAAACTATTCTCTGACTGCAGAAATCAACCAAACTCCTTGCGAAGAATTGTTGATGCATGGTAAACTGCATGGATCAAAATTGTTTCCATGTTACGTTTTATCTAAAAGGCATACAAATTTGATGCAGCATTAGAGCTCAAAATTCAGCCCTACATTGAAAGACTAATTTAAATTTGGCTGTGATGGGAGCAGTGGCCATTTAAATTACCGTCAGCGCTTTAGTGATCCTGAGATTTAAATGGTTGATAAAATGGTTCCATTTACCTTATTCCACTGCAAATACTAGATACTAATGCAGTAATTTGGCAAAATTTCATCAATTTGGCTTAGTCCGCACATAAGTTGCAAATATAAAGCAGAAAATTCAACAGATTCTTCATACAACCTTTAATGTTTTTCAAATAAATCATGAATTTTATTTGATAATGATTGATGGAAAGGTCTTAAGCTCGAGTGAAAAATCATCTTCGTAGGTCGGAGGAATTTGCAATGCAATTCCATCAATATTAAAAAATGTGGAACTAGTTCAAAACTACATAGATCCGCTGTTTTGAGTGCATCATTCATATATCACATCGGCTTCCAATAAAAAAGTGACAGGTTCGGACGGAATGTAGAAATATATTTTATAATTTACATTAATAATAAAATCATAGATTAGCAACTGTTTTGAAATTTTGTGTATGTTAAAATTATCAGTCATTAAAAAGAGTGAACAAAATGATACGAATGCTTGTGTAATTAACCTCGGCCGTTCACTCAAATGTCGCCAGGGAAACATTATAAATTTGTTGCAACAAACCCACAGACCGCAGAGTCTAAGCTAATTTCAGACGGCCAACGGGTTCGTTTCAAGGTCAATAAGGAACAATACCTTGAAAACACAAAATAGGCAGATTTGTGGCATTACATTCTTTTTCATAACATATTGTAAAAATTGGACCACCGTATAATATAGACGGCATATGGCAGCGTAACAAGATGAGATTGAAAACATCCACCACCAGGCCATTGTGAATTGTTTATTTATACATTTACCTTAAGCATTGCGTTATGTTGCACCGAATATTGACTTGAACAGTTTTTTGTAGCACTGATGAATGTTTTGGGCGGTGGCAGAAGTTTTAAATTATTTTCCACCAGGTCCATTGGCTTGTTGAACAAATTCGTAGCACGTCTTAGCTCGCTATATGAAGAGCTAACAGCACTTACAGGGCTAGGTGGCGGCATATCTTCTTCTCTTTCCTTCTCTGACAATGAGTTAGTACAGACGGAAAGCATTCTAGGTAAAGAACGCAACGATGACACAATATCATTAGTGTTTGCATCTGAAAGGTTAAATTCAGTAAGTACTGTCATTCAGAAGGGCAAGTGAATTTTACCTGTTGAATGTACATTGGAGTAAAGTGTGGAGGGTTCGGTAGACGTGCGCCCAAATATTGACGGTATATTTTCTGTTTGTAGGGTACTATCAGACGGGGTTTTTATATTGCTGTAGATTATACTGTTGCCCAAAGAGTTAGATGACAACTTTGGAACATTTATGTTAGATTTTGCCGATTGCATTTGCAGTCCTAAGAGGCCTTTTTTTTCCATTTGAAGCTTGTGATACGCCAGAGCCTCTAATTGCTGTTCCAAAACAGCCGGATTGTCCAAAGTTGATTTACTATTACTGGGTTTTCCGGAAACTTCACAGTCAAAGTTTTGGTGCTTACGAAAAAGAACGGACGCGCCAAATGGTTTCTCCGAACCAAGTAGGGGCTGTGAATAAAGCGGTTCCCGTGAACAAGTAACTTGCTTACTTAATGGAACCTTTAATTTGTTTAAGAAGCAAATTACTTTAGAAATAAATACAAGTAGGCAGTCATATTAGTGCATAATATAAATACAAAATAAAAGCTAGTTGGAACGTTTTTTTCGAGCCTCATACACTATATACATACATATGCATTTATTTATGTATGAATTGAAAAATTAAATTCAAAATATGTTAATATTCCAGAAGAAACGTAAGAACGGAAGACAAAAAAGGCCGAGATCGTGGTCCATAGAACGGAAATTATCGCAGGAACAAGGCATATCAAAAATATTGGACTAGACTAGACCTTTGAGACAGATTTGTTAAACTTTAACGAGTCGGCACAGAGGGGCAAGGGCTAATACGAAGGCACATCCTACGAGCTGTCCCACAATTCTCGTTTCCCAGTTGGAGCGAATATCGAAGAACGTTGTGGATGTAACCGAGCTGTTACTAAGTTTGGACACAGGTGCATCTCATTCTGTAATCAAGAGAATGGTGGTGAAGAAGTGGTGGAGAAGCACGAACAGCAGATGCAGCAAGTGGAGCATCAACTATCTGAGGTTAGACAATTGACGAACCAATAGAATCAATAAGTCTGACGACCAACAAACAACTCGAACAGGACAAATCCTCTATGGAAGAGCGGGTGGCCGTCCCAGCTCAAGGAAAGCAGCCAACTCAATGCCCAAAAGAATCTCCAGCTGAGCGAATCATTCGCATTACTGAGGAAAAGCCACTTGACCGTCGAGCAATAGGAACAGAAACTGCCAGATGTCCAAGTGCATTCGGAATGAAGCAAAAATGCCCAACAGACTATCGAAGACGAACTGAAGCGCCTGCAACAGCAGATGGCTGACTCCGATGAGGAGGGCAGCATACAGTTTGCCAAGCTGGAGGAGAAGATTGCTGAACTGATTGTCCAGACAAGAAAAACTGCAGCAGCTCTCGTCTCCAGCCAGGCGAAAGTGGAGTGAAAGAATCTATCGTGGACGTTGACATGCAATGACTGCATCTTTCAAGAGGCGATGCAATTACTGCACCGTCAAGTGGCCCGTGTGACACCAGCAGAAGGCTGTTACGCGAGCATGCAGGAAAGAAAGCTGTTAGACTAATATTCGAGGAAGATTAGCACTAAAGTTCCTAAGAGAACTAGGCATGCATTCAAAATATAAAAATCATAAAAAAAATACCACTACAATTACTAATTACTAATTACTAGGAAGGTGTGTAAGGATTAGTAATTTAACAAGAGGAAGAGAATTTGAGGTGGATATGATATGGTAGAGGGAATTATAGTCCGAGCATAAGACCCTAAACGGTTTATGCAAGGAATAATTCGATATACAATGTGGAAGGAACAACGATATAAAATTTCTAGTAAGTCTAATATGAATCATGAAGTTTATGCGGCACAATAGATCAGGGGTGACATAGACAGCCCTGATAAAAATCACACCAAGCATTTTTCTACGGTTAACTAAGGATGGGAGGTTTACTAACACACCTTTATTCCAGTTAAGGCCACGCAGAGCAAAGAGTAAAAAGTTTTTCTGTACTGATTCTATACGGTCCTGGTGTACTTTGTACTGAGGATACCATACACAGGAGCCGTATTCTAAGATCGGATGAACAACCGAGGTATAGAGAGTCTTTGTTATATAGGGGTCGTCAAATTCCTTTGGCCACCTCTTTATAAACCCAAGCACGCCCATGGCCTTATTTACCATGGTAGAAATGTGTTCGGAAAACTTTAACTTTGCATTTCGAGGCATTAAGATGTAACAAGTTTGCACAACACCATGACTGAAAGTTATTGAGATCGGATTGCAAGCGAGAATGAAATGAAATGTCCTTATACTGGACACAGTGTTTAACATCATCCGCATACATTAGTACTCGAGAATATGTCAATACCGAAGGCAAGTCATTAATAAAGAATGAGAAGAGTAAGGGGCCTAGATGGCTGCCCTGTGGTACTCCCAAAGAAACCTTGACTGGTGAAGAGAGCGAGTTTTTGAAGAGGACTCTTAGAGACCTGGAACAAAGGTAGCTAGAAATCCATCTCAGGAGGTTGGGCGGAAACCCTAAAAGGTCTAGTTTATGCGCTTGAAGGGAATGGTTTACAGAGTCGAATGCTTTACAAAAGTCGGTGTAAATGACATCCGTCTGTAAGTTACCTTGTAAGGTACCTTTAACAATGAAAGAGGTAAACTCTAACAAATTCGTGGTGGTTGATCGCCGCCTTATAAATCCATGCTGAGTGGGAGATATAAGTGACTTGGAGAGATGTTGCAAGTGCGGAGTTAATACCTTCTCAAACATTTTGGGGATAGCGGATAACTTTGCTATAACTATAGTTTTTTACGTCAGACTTGCTACCTTTTTTATGGAGAGGAATTATAAACGATTCTTTCCAGATGGGGGAAGCAAGAAGAATCGATGGACAGGGTGAATAGTTTAAGCAAGGGTCCACACAGAGCCTCGGCGCAGTACCTGAGTACACAACCTGGAACCCTGTCTGGACCCGGTGAAAACACCGGCTTAACTAGTCAAAGATCATGATGTAAAGAACATTCATTTAACCGTATGGGTCGGATGACCAGAGTAGCTTTCCCTTAGAATAGGCGGTGTGGAAAAATTGGGCAAAAAGATCCGCAATTGCCTGATTATCATTTGCCGGCGTATTACAAAATGATAGCGAGGATTGTTGTGCGGACGTTTTACGCTTACTGTTTACGAAGCAGTAAAACTGTTTAGGGTCCTGAGAAAAACGTATCCTGCATCGAGATAGGGAGTTCTTATAGCATTGTGCATTAAGAACTGAAAAGTTTGACCGAGCTATTTCATAGCGAGAGGAGAGTGAGAAGTAGGAGAACCAACTTCCTGAAATTTTTTATAAAGTCTTGATTTTAAATTTTTTAGGCTGGATAACTCTTTGGTAAACCCAGGGGCTTTTCCAGATCTAATCGGACAAGAAATGTGCCAAGAGCATTGCAAAAAATGTTTGTGCCTTTTATGACATCAGTGCACAAGTACAAAGCGGACCAATCAAAATCCCTAATTAGATTATTAAGCCCCAAGGAATTTTTCACATGGTTGACTTGAGACAGGGACAGGTCAAGCAAGCCGTCAACAAAGTCATGTCGTGACATGGGCACTAGGATACTAGACTCGTTTACCGAAGACCAAACAGTTCCTGGCAAGTTGAAGTCACCTAGAACTATCATATGATCTTTATCTGATAGCGAGGAAGAAACAACGGTTAATGCGGACAAGTGCGGCTCATAAATTGAAATATCCGAAGAAGGTGGGATATATGAGCAAGTAATGAATATAGCGAAAGCGGGAAGAATCAGTTTTATACACAGGAATTCCAGTTCCTGTTGAACTTGGACTGTGAAGTGTTCCGACGTGAAGTAAGAGTCCAGTGCAATTAAAACCCCCCCTGCACGTTGAGACGAACGGTCCTTTGTAAAAGTTGTGGACCGACCTGCCAAAACCTCGGAGCTAAGAATGTCCGGCTTTAACCAGGTTTCAGTAAACACAATAACGTGGGAAGGAAGTGCAACACTATCCCGGAAAAGAATGCTGAGCTTACTACGCAAGCCTCTTACATTCTGATAGGTTACTAAACGAGAAGTTAGTTTTTTGGAAAGGTGGAAGCAAGACGGGAAGTTGAGGAAGAGGAAGTTGAGGTTGAGGGTGGCACACTGGAAAGATTTGGAAAGGATATGGGGGGCCTATTCTTCTTCTTAGCCTTAAGCTCCTTCACCACCAAATGCTCCGGCCAAAATTTGGTGTCAAATTGAGTTGGGGAGATGCTTACTTAAACGAGGCTATCTCCCTGGCATAAGAGAAGTTAAATTTCTCCACCTTTAAACCCACGGCTTTTATTTTGCTTTGAATAAAAGCAATTACATCATTAGATGTGAGGTCAGGGGCCAGCCGTGAAACAAAAACATGTCGTTTTTGTGGGACTCATACCAGTGGTTTAGTCACCACAGGCCCAGTAGCCTCGGAGACTCATTCAGCAGTTGCAGACTGCCAAATTGAGACTCCATGGCTAGGAGCCGATCGTATTGCTTTTGCTAAAGCCAACGGTCAGCTCCTTAAAGCCCTTCCGCGTCTGCCCCATAAAAGCCACCATGTCATTCTCCACCGCACGGCATGCCTCGCAACTGTAATGCAACCCATTACGTTTGGCTATAGCATCACTCACGACGCCAGAAAATCCAGCGCATTTTGCGTGCACTACGCTGTCGCAGAGCCAGCAGGGGACATTCGGCTGATCGTGGGTGATCTGCTTCTTAAAGGTTTTTTTGGCGCAGACCACAGCGTATTCCATTTTTATTATTTATTTATTAACTAAAGAAAATTGGCGAAAAAAATAAATTTCCAAAAGAAATTGGTATTAGACCAATGTGCCAGACAACGCTCAAAGCGGAATTGGTAAACAAAAGAGAGCAGAGTGGAGAGCGGTTATAGCGAGAGGTACTAAGCCGAGAGAGCTATTGCTCAGAAAGTTTAAAGGGCAAGAGAGAAAGAACAGTTATTGAAGCGAGAGAGTGGTAAAACAACAAAAGCTACAAGACGAGAGACGAGAGCTGTAATGCAATGTAATGTACTCACGGCAACAACACAAACACAACAAGCCAACGCCGAAAAATTGTAAGTTCAATAAATAATAATTCAACACAAATCAAAATGGCATGCACTCGCGGAATAGAATAGATTTCCAGATAGGAGGTTGGATTAGGAAGGTGTTTAAAACAAAAACGCGTCTGATCTACGACAAAGAACGAACGATTCTTGAATAGAATGGAACCACAAATGCGGCACTTGAGAAGATCAACAAGTAGTATGCAGAATCTCGAATAGAGTTGGAGGAACGACTCCAACAAATCTCAGAGCAGCTCCAGAACTCTTTGAGGAACCCTCACATCAAAATGACCAAATTCAGCGATCAAATGACAAGCAGCCAGAAGGAGCTGACCAGCAAAGCCGATACCTGAGTCCAGGAGCACTGTTGCCATTTTAGCTTATTTTAATCTAGATTTGGCATATTTTAAAATAAAATATAAAATCTAGCTTATTTCAAATTTCATTTCATTACTTTGGGTTGAACAAATATAGCACAAAACAGCTTTTGTTTTTTGCTTGTATTGTAATATTTGTTGTAACCATATTTTTTGGTCGTATTTTGTCATATAATAAAATTTTTTGAATAAATGTATGTTCATTTTTCGATGATAAATTTCAGTCACACTACAGTATTGCCTCCGAATTAACTCACAACGTTCCCCCTCGTTTTTATTTTTGACTGTGGTATAAGTTGCTCTAACAGTTACAGCAAACAACATAATTAGTATGAGTGATATAATTTTATAATCAAAAATACAAAATACAATCTTAAAAGAAAACTACAGGTTTTCACATTTATAGGCTATTCACACTAACGACCATCCACCATCCATTTCGGGGATTTAGGTAAGGTTTTGCCGTTCCGAAAATTTCCCAGTTAGTCCGCCATCCATTTTGGATGTTCTTAAACGTCACAATGATTGTGATAAAATAAACAAAAAACGAGGGGGAACGTTGTGAGTTTCTGCGATACCCGATACTAAGTCAGTATGGGTCTCCTCCGGCAGACGCCGCTAATATTAAACGACACGACAAAGAGTGCGTGCGAGAGAGACAGAAAATCAGTCTGAGCGTGACGTCGGCGCTGCGTAGCCAGTGCACATTGATTTGTTCCTTTTGGTTATAAAAATGATCTGATCTGATCCAGATTCAGCAATCTGATAGATATGGTCAATATCTATGATTCTGCGTTTTTAGTTTTCTCGAATCTGCAATATTGTGGATTCAACAGATTTTCGTCCTTTGTGGGGGCCGACATCTTAGTGACATCTTAAAGGAGTGTGTACCAAATTTGGTTACTCTAGCCTTAATAGTCTCTGAGATTTGTGGATGCCTCAGATTTTCGTCCTTTGGGGGGCGGAAGGGGGTGTGGCGAAATTTTGACACAAAATGGTCAAGGTCCGATATCACAGGAATGTGGATACCAAATTTGGTTGCTCTGGCTCTTATAGGATCTGAGATCCTTGAACTCATATTTTGCAATTGGCGAAAAATACCATGAAACCTGTGTGTTAGAGAAACAGAGCGAGAAAGAATGAAATTGTTTTATTGATTCTGGCTATGATAATTATACGAAGTGGTTCAGATTTTACACTCTAGAACATATAGTCATCCTCTATGATTCTGCGTTTTTAGTTTTCTCGTATCGTCGAAATTGTGAATGCCACAGATTTTCGCCCTTTGTGGGGGCGGAAGTGGGCGGGGCAAAGTTTTGAAATATTCTTGTAGCAGTGACATATCACAGAAGTCTGGATCCAAAACATCGTTACTCTAGCTCTTATAGTCTTTGAGCACTAGGCGCTGAAGGGGACGGACAGACGGACGGACAGACAGACATGGCTCAATCGACTCGGCTATTGATGCTGATCAAGAATATATATACTTTATGAGGTCGGAAACGATTCCTTCTGGACGTTACATTTTGAGTATCGGGTATAACAACAACAATCATGCCCAATGGCTCGGATGCATTCAAGGCTGGCGATGAGATTGAATGCGGCATGGCCGAGTCTGCCAGGCTGCATTTGCAAGTGTGTGGCGAATTAATGGGAGACGACTGCCAACATAGAACAAATATTTGTATGCTCTGTAAATGCTTTATGTTATGCATAATTTATTCTTTAATAATGATTTTTTTCGAACATTATCGAGTTGGATCTGGACGGATCATGCAGCTCCAGCACCTTTTCTGGCAACAAAGGCCCTCGCCAAAGCGAACCAAAAAAGTCGACACTTCTTGGATGACAGAGATCGCCAGAGAGCGATTCGAAGAGCAGGACCTTCGCAGGAAGAAGAACGCAAAAACAATTCCACAATGACTTATTGGAAGTGCTGAGAAATTTAAATAAATAAGTTTGAAACTTTCATTTTGGTCTAAACAATATTTTGCGATTGCAGATCGTATCTGTCCTGATGACTGATTAAAATCACCAGAGCTGTTGCTGCTATCGGGCTGTTCGCATATTTTGCTGTTGAAACACGGCCGAAATAATTGCTACATCTTCATCATCCATTATAAGAAAAAAAAAAAAGGTTAAATCTTCCGCCCAAATATAATGTACTTGTTATTGGCATCAGCTGTTTTTGACGGATGGTGGATGGTGAGTGTGAATCGGAGTTTCACATCTGGCAAAAAATCCCACCATTCCCCAGGGATGGGCTCAGTGTGCAGAACCTATTACATTCAAAACGAAGGGAAACCCGATACATAGTGGATATACCCGATATATAGTCAGTATGGCTACATTGAGCGAGAATGTTTGCGGGCGAATTGCAAATGCGAATGAAACTGAAAACTGCAAATTGATTTGCTACTTTTGGCTATATAAATGATCCGATCTGATTCAGATTCGGCAAACTCGTAGATATGGTCACTCTTAATGATTATGCGTTTTTAGTTTTCTCGTATCTTTAATAGTGTGGATGCCACAGATTTTTGTCCTTTGTGTGGGTGGAAGGGGGTTGGGCGAAATTTTGAAATACACATGAAACAGTGAGATCTAACAGGAGTGTGGATACCAAATAATAGGGATACCGCTAATAGGGACGGACAGACGGAAACGCTTCCTTCTGGACGTTACACACATCCATTTTCCCCACTAATCTAACATAACCCTATACTCATTTTGGGTATAAAAATGCCAAATGTCTTATAAACAAAGTTTCCACAATTTCTAGTTAAATTTCGAGGAATTTAGGGAGTGGCTAACTGACCCTGACCCCAACTGCCAACTGACCCTACAAAATAGTACGGCTGAGAGACTTGGACTTGTTGGGGACGAACAAGATTAGGCTGAGGGCAGTGTAACGAATGGCGATTAATTAGGCTGCAATAGTCAGCACAAAGTCGAAGAAATGTTGAACATCAAGAGGCAACTTATAACTTACTATAACGGAGGTTTGTTCATCGACCCTCAGCTCCATAATTGAACTTAAACGTAGCCAAGGTCAGTTCCAGAAGAGTCTTGGCAAGCAGGAAGGTACTAGACACCCTAAGCACGACAAGGTTAGTGCGGATATTTTGGTTTCCCAGGTTTGCCTGTCTCCCTTAGAACGCTTTAAAGCAATTTGGAGTTTCGAAAACCACAGCAAAGAACGCAATGAAAAACTCAGCCACTACTTACTGCAACTATCATGGTAGGACTGCAGAAGGTTAGTGGGATTACTCACAGGTCGGGCAAGAAGATACCGGCGCCCCGGTACTGGTTTCAGTGAAAGATGCCACCAAGAGGACGCCGAAGGAGCTTGCCTTTGCTAAGAATAAAAACAAATCTCCATATGGATAACTAAGGGCCCTACTGGCCTATGCGGGGCCCCTCTGAGGGTCTTCTGGGTTAACCTAACCTTGGGTCAGACAGACAAAACCTATTGGCAACGCGATATGGATTATTTACTAACCATAAACTAGAAAAACTGCGCCTTGTCGATGTTACAACAGATTGCAAGGTATAATAAGGACAAACATCAAAATATTACGCCCAAAACAATGTTCTCAAAGACCTTAGATTTAACCCTCAGAGCGAAAATTGTACTGTTAACGTATGTAAATGTTAGCTGTAATTATGTATTGGTATTTTGTTGACCATAACTAGTGAGGAAAAAAGTTCCTATACATAGATATGTACGATGCCTATGAAGGTTATGGTTTACAGACATGGCGTCGTTGGCTATATGGTTGTATAAGCAACTGCAAAGTGAGGTATATGTGTAGTTTGGTTTCATCAGTAGTGAATGCATACCTGAGGCATCTCATTATGCTTCTTTGGCGGCTTTGGTGGAACAGATGGAGCCATTTTCTTATAGAGAGTATCATCTTGTACAGCATATGGATTTTGCTGTAAATTTCCAACTAATTCTGCGACTTTTCCTTGTCTTACATACTCGACGGCAAACCCTTTCGGCGGCAACGGCTGAACGTTATTCAATACCGACAACTCCCTAAGTTGCAATTCCAAAGATTCCATGCCGACAGACTTAGACTGATGTTAATCTGAGCATAATGTAATAAAAGTAATTAGAATACGTTTATTAAAATTTTTAGTTTTGTCACTATATATATTGGGTATAACAGTAAATTTAAGCAATAGTGGATACGAATCTGGATACAAAATTTCGTTGCCTAGCTCTTATAGTCTCTGAGAACTAGGCGTCAAACAAGACGGATAGACAGACATGGCTCAATTGTCTCGCTTTTGATGCTGATCAAGAATACACGTATATACTTTATGGGGTCGGAAACACAAATCCATCGGGTATAATAAGCTATTCTCGAAGATTTTTTTGTAGTTAGGGAAAATTCTGGGGTTTTGATATAATTTTCTTTGATAAGGAAACCCTTAATTGGATCACACAGTAACAATATAAACGATCCGTAAACCTGATTTATATATATATATACATATATATATGTAAATGCTTACCTGTTTACAGGTTGCATTTATCACTTGCATTTATCAGTTGCTATTATCACTTATCTCATGCCCAGAAGTAAATTTAGAAACTTGAAATATAACTTTTTTAATTTTCCTGGCTTCGATTCTAACAAGCAAAAATAAGCATAAACATATGAACATATGTATGCAGGGCATGCCCTAAGCTGTGAGCCACTTTATGTACATATTACAGCAAAAACGATGTCTATGCGTTGGTATCCATGATACCTGATAGTTATTCCGATTTCAATAAATATAATTCAAATAATAGAAAAGCAGATTGGTCTATTCCAATAATTAACTACATCCTTTCCTTTTGTTGATACATTAGCTGCAGCACACAAAAATATTTTGTACATACATAAATAAAACAAAAATTTAACTCACCGCAAACAACAGATTTTAAAAATCAATATTAGTAGTTTAACTGTCGATTATTTTTTTCGAGTATCTTAATCTTAAAAAAATGCTGGAGCGTATCTGTTACACTGTTACTGTTGTTGTATATACATACATGTATAGATATATGCATATACACACACACATTTTCAGTCCGTTCGAGTTTAAATATTGGGCCAACTCTGAGTTACGATGGGCAGCAACGAAAGTAAAGTAAAAACTTTTGTTTAATGCGGCGACGAGACATTACATAGATTATATTATTAATATTATTTATTTAATCTGTATTTATTCCATGCGCCTGGCCAGTTCTATATCGGTGATAAGGTATACGGTCTGACCCTCAGAAATATACCGAAATACGTCACAATTTTTAAAATATACCGAAAATTTGCTGACAAATTATTTGCATTCAAGTTGAATCATATTACTCGTTTTTGATATTCGGTTGAATATTACTAGATAGCTAGGACCCTCAGCTCTGAGCTCATAATTTTATCCGATTATTATTTATAGTCTAGCACTAGATGACCACTTACCGAGCTCCTCGAACTGTTCGCCTATATGGAAGGACAATTCACGTGAGGGCGGTAGCACCAGCGTGAAATACCGTTGCAGGCTCTCCAGTAGCGCATTCAAAATGGGCAGGGCAAAGGCTCCCGTCTTTCCAGAGCCGGTTTTTGCCAGGCCGATCACATCCTTGCCTTGAAGTGCCACTGGTATCGCCTCTCTTTGGATTTTGGATACTGTCTTCCATTTCTTATGTGTGCTGGCAGTAGAGAATTATGTTAGTGAAATTTTATTAATAGGTTTCTTGGGGTACTTACGTCGTGCTTCTATAGGAGTATAATTTAAAAATAAAATCCTAATTCAAACTTAAATTAAAAAAAAAAAACTTAATTTAAATCTAAATTTACTAGCCTCTCGGCTAATCCTTCTGTTTTTAGAGCTGCTGGGGAGGGATTTGGTAGGGTTGGAGCTGCCTGGGAGGGATCTGGTGGGGTTCGAGCTTCTGAGCAGGGATCTGGTGCGGTTGGAGCCTGGCAATTAACATTTTTGTTTAAATGATTTTTTTACAGCATTGCACTGTTTTATGGGCACAGTTAGCTCCAATCGATCTTTTGTCCTCCTTGCCCGTCAGTCGTCTTTTTTCCGCGATCATGGCTTCCTTCATCATGGCTCCATCTGCGTCGTATCTCCGTATACTCTATGTGCGCCGTACACTCTATCTGCGCCGTCAGTTCCATCGCCTCTATCGCCTCCATCGCCAACATTCAAACGGGTGAAGACGGTGTCGATTGTTGGGATTTCATTGACCAACAGAAGGAACCTTTTGTTGAGTAAGGCTGGAACCGAAGCGGAACTGACGGACAGCGGACAGACAGGCTTATAATTAAAGGCGACATTTGTGATTTTTACGAAAGTATGAATTTAACATTGATTGCTTCAAAGAGCAGAACTCATACAGACGAAGTTGAAAAATTGTTCCCCAAGGAGATTAAGGAGAAATGGTTTGCAGGGAATGGCTGTAGTGGAAGCGCAGACAATCTACAATCCTACAATCCTACAATCCTCTACAAGCCGACCGACTATCCGGCCTTCTGCTGCGATGCAGAATCTTGCAAGAAATGCGGCAAATTTTGCGCCTAGTGCAACACATTAACATACTACATGACTTTCCGTTTCATTTCTAATTTTGATCAAATTTTTGTCTTTCACAGGCAATTTTTCACCCAATGATCGGCGACAAATGCGGCTATAACACATAAGAGGCCAACTATCAAACAAAATATGATTTCATAATTGTAAATTAAAATATATTTCATATAATCCAAGGGGAATATATGTAATTTAATTGTTATACAATTCGGAATAAAGAAATTCTATTTCTATATAGATATGTAAATATAAATTTATCCGGCTGATAAATTGATTCGACGACCCATACAATCTTGTGGAATTTGACGAGGTCAAGGTCTTCGTGATGGAACAGAGCAGCTCTATCTCCATCTCTTTCTTTCAACTCGCCTTGAAAAAGTGCAACTAAATCTGACTTTCTTCTTCTCAGAAATACGACATCTTCTTCTTCCCGAAATAGAACATGTAAAATGCATTTTACATCTGACGTTTGCTACATGTTAACTACGTCGCGTCGCCAATAAATAAATGCCGCAATTGAAAAACGAGAGCTTCTAATTAAGTTTAAAGCCTTTGCCGACCGATTTGACGCGTATCGTCGAACCCATATTTGTGTGCAAATATATATAAAATTATTTAGCATCTAGAATGTTAAACGAGGGGGAACGTTGTGAGTTGCTGCGGACACCGCAACTCTACGGTTATACCCGATACTAAGTCAGTATGGCTCTCCTCCGGCAGACGCCGCTAATATTTAACGACACGACAAAGAGTGCGTGCGAGAGAGACAGAAAATCAGTCTGAGCGTGACGTCGGGCGCTGCGTAGCCACTGCAATTTGATTTGTTCCTTTTGGCTATAAAAATGATCTGATCTGATCCAGATTCAGCAATCTAATAGATATCGTCATTATCTATGATTCTGCGTTTTTAGTTTTCTCAAATCTGCAATATTGTGGATGCAACAGATTTTCGTCCTTTGTGGGGGCGGATGGGGGTGGGGCGAAATTCTGAGATATACGTTTTATAGTGACATCTTAAAGGAGTGTGTGCACCAAATTTGGTTACTCTAGCCTTAATAGTCTCTGAGATTTGTGGTTGCCTCAGATTTTCGTCCTTTGCGGGGGCGGAAGGGGGTGTGGCGAAATTTGGACAGGAAACGGTCAAGGTCCGATATCACAGGAGTGTGGATACCAAATTTGGTTGCTCTGGCTTTTATAGGTTCTGAGATCCTTGAACTCATATTTTGCAATTGGCAAAACCGACCATGAAACCTGTGTGTTAGAGTGAGACAGAGCGAGAAAGAGTGAAATTGTTTTCGTGATTCTGGCTGTAATAATTATACGATCTGGTTCAGATTTTGCACTCTAGAAGATATAGTCATCTTCTACGATTCTGCGTTTTTAGTTTTCTCGTATCGTCGAAATTGTGGATGCCACAGATTTTCGCCCTTTGTGGGGGCGGAAGTGGGCGGGGTAAAGTTTTGAAATATTTTTGGAGCAGTGACATATCACAGAAGTCTGGATCCAAAACATCGTTGCTCTAGCTCTTATAGTCTTTGAGCATTAGGCGCTGAAGGGGACGGACAGACGGACAGACGGACGGACGGACAGACAGACAGGGCTCAATCGACTCGGCTATTGATGCTGATCAAGAATATATATACTTTATAGGGTCGGAAACGATTCCTTCTGGACGTTACACACATCCACTTTTACCACAAATCTAATATACCCCAATACTCATTTTGAGTATCGGGTATAAAAAAATGTTCTTAAAAGGTACAGAATTTGGTAGGTGCACGGGTCTTCCTTCGGGGTCGGTCGTCGTTCGGGGTGGCCGCACGCTGCGGATAGCTGCGTGCTGTCCTGATTATCGTCCGGACGGTGTTGGTCGATGTCGCGGAGGATTAACGGCGCTCCGAGGGGAAGATTTGTTGTGGCGAGTTGTGGCGGAGGTTTAAGTGCGCTCCGTGGAAAAGAAATGTTGCGGCGGTTTAAGTGCGCTACGAGAGAAGGTGGGATGCGGAGGTTTAAGTGCGCTCCGAGAGGGATGGGAGGATCGCTGGGGGTGTTGGTGGTTGCTGCTGATGCTAACCTCTCCACTGGCCGGAGCCGAACTGATGCTGATCGCTCCGGCGGTGCCCCTTTTATTCCCGAAAAGCAGCTGATCCGTATGGAATGTTCCCAACGTTTTGTGCGGATCAGCTGATAGTCTACCCGTGGGTGCTTGGGTATCACTTGGTATGCTCAGTTGTGGGTTGTGTTGTGGTTGTGTGACCGTGGGTGGCTGTGCTCATGGTGGCTTTATTTTTCTTTCGGGTTTTCTTATTGTTTGTTCTTTTTCTGTTTATTTCATTTGTACTTATATGGCAAGTGAATGAATTTTGTCTCTTATGTGCTACTTATCCTTATTGCTACTAATACTTTTGACTTAGTCTGCATGGTGTTATTGGTGTTTCTAGTGTACTTAGACTTCATGGTTTCTTCTTGGTGTTTCTAATGTTTGTGTTGGTGTTTGTAG